CACTGGGGTCTTAGAATGTGTTCCTCCCAGGTGAACTCAGGCATCTGTCATGCCAAGCAAGAGTAAGCTATGGGAATGGAGGAAAGCACATATTTTGGTTTTGCCCTCTGTCCCTCTTGTCATTTTCAACTTTATTTTTCTTAAAATGAATTAACAATAGGAGAACCAATAACCCAGCATTAGGAAGATGAGCCAAAAGGAGATCTGGACTTCTTTATTGTCCTCTGAAGCTGGTGACTTGGGAGCCTATCCGAAACAGATTGAAGGCCTTGACTAAGTAAAGCTTGTCTTTTCTGCCACAGACCAAACAGGTATCTGGCACCCCTTCACAGGAGACTTCTGAGGTCCTCTGGCCTCATGCCATGAAAGGTATAAAGACCTGCTGATCCTTGTATACTGCTGCACACTCATTTTCCTGGTAGGGAGAAACTTAGAACCTACTATAATTCTACCCCAGCAGCAACCCATTGGGTAGAATTAGTGCTCAGTAGGGAAGGGCACCTGCCTGGTCAGCCAGGACAGCTCTACCTACCTGGGCAAGCCGCCTGTGCTTCCTTGAAACCCTCTGGTTTTTTGGCTTAACAGCGAGCTTGTGCTTGGCAGCACTGTTGTCCAGACGAGCAATGGCCAGGGGGATGGCATCCAGGTTGACACTTTCAATGGTGCCAGCAGAAGAAAAGTGCCTTTTTGGCCGAGAGGGTTTAACTGGAGCAACCTATAGTACAGATTAAGATGTAAAAGTCAGTATGGATCAGAAAATGACCTACAGGGAATCTCACAATGGTGAGACTTGATGGATTCTGCATCTGCCCAGTTTAGCCTGGGGAATGCTGGGGAACAAACAGTCTCAATATTTTGAAGTAAGTCCTGGTTTTAGAATCAAAAGATAAGATGATGACTATTTATTCTACTGGTAATGACTTGATTTCACCCTAGATGTCATCTAGCCTTTCCAGGACTAAGTTTATTGCTCTGAATGATAGGGGTTAGAGTAAGTCGGGGTCAAATCTACCCACCCCACAGGCTGCTTTGGTACACGGCTTTACTGACCCGCAGACATGCCCATTCTTTTGCCTGCTTATGTGCTATAAAGAACAGCATACAGAAGGATCATGTAGTTGCAGCCTGTGATCACAAGGCATAAAATAATCAGGAGTTTACTGCAGCCTGGATCATCTCTGCGCTGAGAACTACTGCTCAGTGTCCATTCTCAGCTCATACACAGGACTTCTGTCCCTTTGAGGCAGGAAAGGTGTCTTTTCACTGTTGCATGAATTCCTTTTATGTTCTAAATGAAAATCTCATTTGGTAGGTGCCCAATACATATATTTGTTGATGGAATGAAGGAATAATAAAATAGAACTTATATGGGCTGGAGAGATAACTCAGCAGTTAAGAGCACAGGCTACTCTTGCAGAGGACCAGGGTTCAAATCCTAGCACCTATATGGTGGCTAATGATCACCTGTAACTCCAGTTCCAGGGGATCTGGCACCCTCTTCTCACCTCCACAGGCAATGCATGACATAGGTGCACTTACATGCATGCAGGCAATACACGCATACACATCAAATAAAAATATTAAAAAATATAATCTCTATGTTTAAGACAAAAAATTTATTTATTTTGCTATGGATTAAGTTTTAATATGAGTCAAAGTCAGTTCACCATACAAAAAAAAAAATCTAAAAATCACACTCCAGTTACCACATGGCTCTTAGGAGAACAAAAAACTAGGTGTTTCCTTTGCTCGCAGGAAATGAGGAGGAACAGAGGAAGGTCAGAGAAATAGCAGAGGTAAAGAGATTGCAGAGGTCTGCTGGAGAGGTCCTGCTGCCTCGTGCCCTGTCCTGCGGATGCTCATCCTCCTGCACATGTCCTCCATGTCACCTGCTGGTTCATAAAGCATCCATTTGGTGTGGTCCTCAAAGCATCAGGCAGCAACTGCATGATTTCTCCTTTTCTAGCCTCTTCAATGCTGATGCCTCCGTCGTTTCCTCTTTGGATTCTGTCACAGCTCTTGGATCCTTAGGATTTGACTCCTCATAACTGAATATCTCTGCTACTTCTCCCTTGGCCAGAGCCACCAGAACTAGAAAGCAATGCACATAAGGACCATGTATAAAGGAGAGCCCTCTGGGCATGCTTGAAGATGTGTGTGATGAAGATGGCCAGACTGAAGCTATAGGAGGTGAAGCTGGTACAGAAGATGCAAATGTCCTTCAAGCTGATGTTAAAGCACAGCAGCAAGGCAATGAAGATCCCTGGAGTGATGATCTTCCAAGTCTCAGCATGCCAAAGTTGTCTACCTTAAGGCCGTTTTCCAGCACATCTTAAGGAAAAACCAATTTTGCTGATGCCTCAAAGGACTTCGTCATAGTCACCATTGTGTTGGTTGTCAAATACCCAGATGAAGTTTGCCCAGCAGGATGCCATCAGTGCTGACATTGTTCAGGTGCAGGAGCTCCACCCCATTAAGGGAGAAGACCAGGCCAAGCAAGTTGTTGGCAATTCAGTGCTTCCTCAGCAGGTACCAGATGCCTCCAATTCTGCTGAGGCCCAGGCATACCAGATCTTCCTGTCTGTGCTGTCAACTTGACACAAATTAGTTATCTAGGAAGAGGAGCTCTCAATTGAGGAATTTCCTCCATCAGACTGGCCTATGGGCATGTCTTTGGGGGTATTTGGTCTTTTTGAGACAGGGTCTCCCTGTAGCTCCAGTTGGCCTAGAACTTGCTATATAGACCAGGCTGGCCTTGAACTCACAGAGATCCACCTGCCTCTGCCTCCCAAGTGCTGGGACTAAAGGCATGCCCATGATACCTGGCTGGGGGATATTTTCTTGATGACTAATTGATGTAGGAGGGCCCAACCCACTGTGGGCTGTGCCATCAATGGGGAGGTGGGCCTGGGCATATAAAGAACCAAAAAGGCCAGGGGAGCAAGCTAGTAAACAGCATTCCTTTGTGATCTCTGCTGATCTCTGCTTCAGTTCCTGCCTCCAGGTTCCTGCTTCTTTTGATGAGAACCTGTAAGATGTAATAAATCCTTTCTTCCCCAAGTTGCTTTTGGTCATTGGTGTTTATCACATTATCAGAAAGCAAACTAGAATGGTGTTAAACTCCTAGGTGACCATTTCTGGGCCAAGAAGCTGGGTGAATCCTCTCCCCAGCGTGGGGCTGCCTTTTCTACCTGTCAGCTGCTCCAGAATTGCTGGGGTATTAGGATGGGGAGAGCTCACTGGAACTCCCCCTAGTCCCTCTAATTTTCTAAAGGGAGGAACAGAGACCAAAGAAAGTGTCGGGTCAGTGTGGGATGGTCCTTGGTATTGGAAGCACTGGCTCTTCTACCTGTAGCCAGGTGACCCTGCAGGAGGCAGTGCCCTGAGTTTGTTTCCTCACTTGTAAAAATGTCACCAGCACTGCTCTCATAGGGCTGCTGTGGGAAGTAAGCGAAGTGGTTCTTGCAATGCCCTCAACATGGTGCCTGGAACCCAGTGGGAGCCCAATTAATGCCAATTCCTACCAAGTTCAGATATGTAGTATGGTCCTAGTTCATTCTGGAATCAAGGGGACTCCTGATAGCCCCAGTTCACTGGCACAGGAGGAGGAGGATAAGAGATAGAGGGCTTGAGGGAATCTCTAAGGCTCCTCTTGAGGGGACCTCCTTCATAGACATCCATTCTCAATGCTGCCAGACTTCCTAATAGGAAGCCACAAAAGGTGGTGGAGGTTGCCCCTGGCCATAGAGTGCAGCCACTTTGGTTGGATTTCAGAGTGTAGCACACTGCTACTTGTTATGCATGCATGTATATAAGTGCACCTATGTGTGCAATGCCTGCAGAGGCCAGAAGAGGGAGTTGGAAACCCTGGAACTGGAGTTTCGAATAGTTGTTAGCTACCATGTGGGTACTAGGAACTGAACCTGGGTCTTCTGCAAGAGTAGCCAGTGTTCTTGACTGCTGAACCATCTCTGCAACCACTGTTTTGGTTTGTTTTTATTTTTTAAAAGGAATTTCTTGAATGTCTTCAGCATAACAGCAAAGGGATAGTCTTCATGATGTCACATGCAAACACAAATGCATATACAGCACACTATATTTATTTAGCCCAAGTACCCACACAGCATTCCTTCTAAGGCTCACTGTGTCTTCATGTGCCAAGGCCCATCATTTAAATAATGGACATGTCCACTCTTGATTCCCTTGTTGACTTTTTCAGTCTTCATGACTCCAACAAGCAGAGCATGCTCTTTTCCTTCTGTCTTTACTGCCATGACGATACTGTGGTAGGTAAAGCTTTGCTCTAAGAGACATTAAACCTAGATGTGATATTTGTAGCCCTAGGCTGCAAATTTGATGGATGGCTCTTTTATTCACTTCCTGATGCGGTAGGATAAAGGGTCTTTGTGAAGTACCTTAGTTTTAGATAAAAAGGCCCCACTCTGTCTAAAAATATGGTATTTCTCTATTTACCATAAGGATTTTCATATGTTCAGATGTTGGACTATTTTAATGGACTCTTTCTTAAGTATGATTTCAGGATATAAAAATCTATAATCAGGAAAATGTTTTGTCTGGGCATGGTGACACATGCATGTAATCCCAGCTCCTGGGGGGCAGAGGTTGAAAGACTGTGCATTAGAGGCCATCCTGAGCTATACAGTGAGTTCAAGGCTAGCCTGAAACACACAGCGAGACCCTGCCTCTTATATGTAGATCCTAGCTTTGAATGTTTAAATTTGTGTTTAACTTGGAGTGTCTGTAGAGATCAGGAAGCCAGAAAGGGACACTGGGAGTGGGGAGGAGATAGAAGAAAACGTGATATTAAGGTAGAAGGGGGCAAATTCTGGAAGTTAAATGTTTAAATATAGATGGGAAAAGGGATGAGGAAGAGGAAGAGGTGAATTCATCAAAACTAAGAATGTATGAAAAAATCTTTATGGAAACCTACTACTTTGTAAGCTAGTTGAATACACACACACACACACACACACATACACACGCACATGTATATTTGTTTATTTGTTTGTTTTTGAGACAGGGTCTCTCTGTAGTCCCAGTTAGCCTGGAATTTGCTATGTAGACCAGGCTGGCCTCAATCTAACAGAGATCTGTCTCCTTGGCCTACTGAGTGCTGAGATTAAAGGTGTACACCGCCACAACCAGCTAAAAAAGTTTGTTGGAGAGATGGCTCAGCAGTTAAGAGCACTGACTGCTCTTGCAGAAGACCTGAGTTTGATTTCCAGCACCCACATAGCAACCAACAAAAGTCTTTAACTCCAGTTCCAGGGGAATCTAATGCTCTTTTGTGACTTCCAGGGGCACTACATGGCATGGATGCACTTACATACATTCAGGCAATACACTCATACACATAAATTTAAAAAAAGAAATTAAAAAAATTTGTTTTTAAAGAAGGGGTTTGAAGGCTTAGTGTGGTGGCACATGCCTTTAATCCTAGCACTTGGGAGGCAGAGGCAGGCAGATCTGGCCAGCCTAGTCTACATAGTGAGTTCCAAGCCAGGTGGGGCTCAGGGAGACCCAAACACACATACACACACACACACACACACACACACACACACACACACACCACACGAGTTTGAATGGAGGTACCATACATAAGTAGACAATGCTGCTTCCAGAAGACATGGGTTATTAAAATTCTCAGTGCCTCCTCCCTATGAATTACTTGTCAAGGGAGTCCTAGAAACCCCCAAAGAACATAGGTTATTTTCAAGGCTTTGGTTGTCCATCATAACTATATGGTAAGACTCTATTGTTGAAGATACCACATGCTTTGGTTGTAGGACATAGAGAAATCAACCTAGAACTGACTGGGAAAAGTCCTCCCTGCTGGCTAGCTTTTATAATACCAGAAGGTGCTATGTAGGCCACTGGGGGATAAAAGACATCCATGATCTTCTCCACTGCTGGACCCTGCATACTACAATACTGACCAGCTAGGCAAGATGTGACTACTGCAATAGTGGCATGATATTATGGGAGTAACCAATCACTTTCTGATTGGATTTCACCCACTCCACAGGAGGGAATTCATCCTGATACTATAAACTACTCAAAAATCCATCTGGGAAGGTTATAGGCCCTAGGGGGCCAAACTACCAGTGCTATTTTGTTAAATGGTCATGTTTTCAAACTGCCTTCTAAATATTTATGTCTATACCAACAGATTAGTGCTGCTCTCAACCTTGGTCACAGAAGCTTCTTTTTGCAGTGGGTATCAGTTAATGCAGAAACTCATAACTGGTTAAAGAGATGAGAATAAGTAACTGTTAAGTGCTTAGTCCTAAATGGGACAGCTATATAAGCCCTTCCTACCCTCCTCCACAAGGACCAAGGAACACTGAGGAAAGAGGGAGGAGAAAGAATGTAAGAGCTGGAGGATGGGGAGGAATGCTGTGAAATGCTGTTTTCTGGACATGACATGGCTGTTGCACTTATGAACACACAGTACCTTATTTACCTGCATGATCAAGCCAATCAAATCTCAACATGAATGGGGGAGGGGCTCACAAGGCCTTCTACCCCTAGCTGAAGAGCTATTGGCAGCTGATGGCTGCTGAGGAAGGGAGAGTCAACTTTCAATTTTCTTCAGGAGTGTGGCCCCTGGTAGGTTGCTCATGCTCCAGTAGATGATGGTAGTACCACACCTATGCACATGTGGACAGCACAAAGACTCAATTGAGTTATTTAAAAAAAAAAAAAGGGCATGTTGTGGAGCAGGAAGGGGGGCAAGTGGGGGATTATGATCAAGATACATTGCATACATGTATGAAATTGTCAAAGAATAAATAAAAATATTATTAGGCTGGGCATGGTGGCACATGCCTTCAATCCCAACACTAGGGAAGCAGAAGCAGGTAGGCCTCTGTCAGATCAAGTCCAGCTTGGTGATCCATATAATGAGTTCCAGGCCAGCTGGGGCTGTACAGAGAGAGACCCTGTCTCAAAACGCAAACAAAGATGTTATTAAAAATTTTGACATAACCCCTCAAGGTCAAGGAGTGCTGAGTACACCAAAAGGCTAGATGACAAGGTGCACTGACTAAAAACAAAAAAAAGTGATAAATATGCCCCAGGGATAGGTGCCACTCCCCGAAGGAAACTGTGGAACAGCCAGAAGTTCTGGAATAAAGATGTAAACACTAAAAGACCACTATCAAGCCCAGCACGGAGGCACACACCTGTAATCCTAGCTCCTAGGAGGTGGAAGCAGGAGGATCAGATCAAAGTTATCCTTGGCTACGTACATATTGAGTTGGAGAACTGCCTGGATTATATGAGACTGTTTCAAAAAATAATTAAACACACAAAAAAACACCCCACTACCACCACCTCAGACTAACTATATTTTAAAAGGTTGGAGTAGTCAGGGCACAATCTGAATCAGAGGCCACACTAAGTGAAGATAGGAAGTCACACCTGTAATTTGAGAGAATTTAGTTGCCAGTGTGCAAGCAGGGGGCGCTCACAGCCCTGTCTGCGTGAGCCAGCAGTTGTGCACACAAGGAGACAGCACTGGAAAAGGACCAGGTCCCTGACTGTGTGCTGTAAGTGTAGAATCTGAGATGCGTTTAAGGGCTTGCATTTTGTAATTCCCTTCCATACTTGTGCATAAAAGATAAAAGACCAAACTAGTATATATCATTGTAATCAACAAAAAAATAGTACACACAACTTTATGAATTAAGAAGCATAGAAAAATACTTCTGGTCTTGTAACTTTTATAATAGGTATCATATTCTGAGCTATTGTTGAAAAGAGATGAATTAAACATTTTTTTTTCATTCCCTAAGAGACACATGAGGAAAACTAGTCAGAGTCCAGGGAATAAGCAGGACACCTAACATCCTCTCATGGCCTCTGTGCTCAAGCAGATGTCTGTACTCCCTAACCCATGTATGCACACACACAATTAAAAATAAAAAGGACACTATGGGGCTGGAGAGATGGCTCAGCAGTTAAGAACACTGGTTGTTTTTGCAGAAGACCCAGGTTCAAATCCCAGCACCCACACGGCAGCTAACAACTGTCCGTAACTCCAGTTCCAGGGGATCTGATAGCCTCTTCTGTCCTCCACGGGCATTGCATGACACGGGTGCACGTACTACATGCACGCAAAACACACATACACATAA